TTATCAATATATCTTTGTACCTATTTCCTACTGATAAAGAATATTAATTTTAAGTAAATTTTATCATAACTCTTCTTAAATAAATGGTTAATAAATCATTAATATCATTCAGTATCTGGTACATATTACATTCCACACATCACTGCACTGTTTTACTATACCAAAGTATATATTGTATTGTAGAAAATATGCATTGTGTATATGTGTGGGGGGTATGTTTTTACACATATGCATGCACTATTAAATGAGAAACATGGTCATGAATGTGGTAGAATTTTGCACATTTGGCATATCGATGGTTTCTCAGGCAACCTTATGATTTCTCTAAATGAGATGCTTAATTTAATTCATAGTCATTTGTTTGGGAAGAATATTACATATGTATTGGTGTTTAATTCTATCATGCTTATAAAAATGATAAAAATATGTATGAGATATAATAACAAACTGAAAAATCAGATCTTAAAAATGTGAACTCTTTTAGTTGTTTTTGGTTTTCAAATATAAGTATATTTCTTTTCTGTGGGAAGTTTTGTTAGAAAATGTAAGTGATACAGTCAATAAGCATATGATATTTATCAAATTAATAAAATCAAGTAGTTTATAAATCATAAAATTTTGAGGACAGTTTCTCAACTATAATATGTAACTTTGTTTTATTTTTGAATACAATATTTCAAAAATATTATATGAAAAGAAAATGAGAAGGAACATATAATGTTTGAAGATCATAACAAACTAATAATGTATTTGGATTATCAGTCTGTGTTGCATAAATTTTTGTTTATTTCATATCCTTTTTTGCTGTCATATATATGTATATTTGAAATTTTTATTTAGTATCCTCATTTCTTTTTGTCATGTATGTTTGCAATCTTTAATTAAAAAAATCATGTACACATGTGACACTTAAAAAATCTGTGACACAAGGCAGAGGTTTATTTCATCTTTACTTCTTTTTCTTTCTCTTCTCTCCTTTCAGTAAGAAGTGGCTTTTATGATAATAATGTTTTCTTTCTTAACATAGGATCATAATTAGACTTTGAAAGAGTATCAATATTATTCAGTAACAAAATCCCTTATCCTCAATACCAAAATCTAAACTTCCCTGAAAACAAAGGATTTTTCTAAACCATTTGACATTAAAATCAAAGTGGAATAAACACAAGGCTGTAATGTATTTATTTACACTATTTGGGGTGAATATTTCCATGTTTTCCAATAGACAGGCTTATGTGTTTTATTCTGGATGTTGCCCCAGATTCTGCTGGTAATATTAATGTCAAAATTCTTCTAAAGCTGGAAAATTCCCAATTCTACAACATGTGTGGTGCCAGTGGAGTCACTGCTCACCAATAACCTCAAAAGGCTTGCTTTTATGCAACAGGATGCCCCCTTTCCCAGCACCAAAAAGGGACTTCCAAGCTTTCCTCTATAGCAGCCACGACTGGAGGACTGGGGGCAGGCACATAGGGCAGTATTGAGGGAAAGGAAGGAGGAAGAGTCAAAAAACTACTATCTCACTTGATAGCTTTTATTTTTACTTAAAATATAATCACCCCCAAAAAAATATCTTTTTTTTTTTTTTTTTTTGTACCAGGGATCAAACTCATTACCTCATGCTTACCAGGCTGGTGCTGTGCCACTGAGCTACATCCCTGGCCCCACAAGTTTTTACTTTAAAAAATTTAGATGGTAATAATCCAAGACCACATATACACAGATCTAATGTAAAGTATAACATTCCATTATAAAACATGGTGATATTTATATAGCTAAAAATACCCTTTGATAACACAAGTTTAACAAATTTTCACTTGTTGGGTGTTTTGTACTTGGTTTGTGATACTATTTTTCCTCTTTTGCCTCAGAGTATGATTTCTCTTATAGTTGTGTCCTTTTTTTCTTCTGCTGCTATTTCCCTTAAGCCTAGAAAGATAGACAAGGCTCTGTCATCTACTGGAAAGGAACAAAACCTCTACAAGTCTCTGTGCATTTTCTTCTTGTTACCCTTTTTCTTGTCTCAAAGTTTTTTGGGGAAAAAAAAAATCACTCACTTTCTCAATATCTTCACTTCTCAAACACTACCATGGAGGGCTGGGGATTTAGCTCAGTGGTTCCGGTGCCTTCCTTGCAAGCACAAGGACGCAAGTTTGATCCCCAGTACCAAAAAACAAACAAACAATAAAACACTACCATGTACCCTTTAACCCCAATAATGCTGAGCATATTTCATAAACATGCTGTACAACATCCTTCATGTGACAATCTCTACAATTTCTGGAGTCCACAAAAGTTCTCTTTGTAAACTCTGTTATTTCACAAACATATTTGCACATTCCTGTTCTTCTTTCTCCTGCCCCAAACACTGGAATTCCTAAAGGTTCCACTTCTACTATTGTTTTTCAATGTCCATATCCTCATGATTTCCCCAAAATACGACCTAACTAGAAAATAGGGGCTGGTCGTTACAATGGTGAGGGCCAGCATCATGCAGAAGATTATACCTCACTCTTGCTTTGATCCCCGGCTACTCTGTAATGGCAGGTGAGGCAAAGTGACTGGGCTGCATTTTTTGATCTCTAGTTTTCAAAGCTGATTATTTTCTGGCTAGGACTTATTTTGGGGGAAACAGAGTAGCCTCCTCTGCAAAGCCATTCATTTTTGAAGATTTAATTATCTTGCTGATTCTCAAAACAATATTTCTAAGTTCAATCTCCCTCAAGGATTAAACTTACATATTCGATAGCATAAATTAAATTCTCGGTGCTGGAAAAAATAGCCTATTGGGTGGCTCCAAGTGGATGTCCCACAAGTACTTCAAAATTAGCAAGTCCCAAAGTAAACTCAGCATCTCCCATTACCACCTGATTTCTCCCTGGTAGCCAGTTCTCTCAGAGGCGTCTCATCCACCTGGCCACTCTTGCCAGGAACCCAGCATAATCTAGGCCCTTCATTCTACTTTCTAGTCCCGTATCAAATTAGCCACTGAGTTCAGTTTCCTAAATATTTCTTTACGTTGTGTCCTGCATTTATTCCTACTAACATAATCTTGGTCCACACCCTAATAGGACCATTTTATTACTCTATCTAGTTTTTTTAACCTTAGTGTCAAAGTATGCAGTATGTCAACATGGTCTATTCAAAAGCAGATCTGACTATACCATTTCCTTGCCAAGCACCTTTCAACAGCTGGCCACTAACAGTGGAATGAAGTACAGATCTTAACTCTACCAGGTAGGAGCACACGGGATATGAAGCTGGGGCCAGGCTAATCCTCCGCCAGCCCTTGCCTTTCACTTTATGCCCAAGCAACACTGAACAACTTGTTCTTCACACAAGCCCTGGTCTTCTACACACCTATACCCCTGTTCATCTTCCCGGGCCACCTGGAATTCCCTCCACTCTTTCACCCAGATAACAGCATCAGTGCCAGAAACTGCCCTGAATCCTGATATTAGACTTCGTTCAGTCCTTATTCCTCTTGCAGCAAAATATGCCTACTATGTTCTATCACCTGTCAGCCTTTACTGAGATTCTCCATTGGAAGGTTTTTCTGCTATCCTAGGCATGGAATTTCTCAAGGGGAGGGTTTATTTTTATTCATCTTCCTGTCATTAGCCCTGAATGTCTACCTGGCATATAGTTGGTACTGAGTGAATGTTTGTGAAAACAGACAAGCATGATAGAGTGCTTATCATAAAGCAAACACAAGGTTATGCGGTAGGTATCATTCCAGAATTCCAAGGCATTCAGTCTCAAACAAGTCTGTGAACAATGTGACATAAAGCGAGTTCAATGAAACTAAGCATACGATATTCTGGGAACACACAGGCAAAGTACTGAACCAAGGTGGAGAGGGGCAGTGTCACTGCAGAAGTGCCATGGTGAAGAAAATAACTGAGCATCACAGAAGAAACAAACCACACGGACATCTATGAATTCTGCAGATGCTGGCAAGCTGGAGGTAGACAAATGCATCGATGTGGCAGAAGCCAGGACACATGTGAATGGAGGGAAAAGAAGGGGCTACAGAGGAAGAGGGAACCACACATCAAGCCTTCGTGAATCTTTTATGTTTGAGAATTTGACTTGTCAGTCGGCTGGAGAAGACTGGTAAGAAAGTGATACAATCAGAAGTAGCCTTTCATGATTTTTGCAATAATAGTGTAGGGAATGGGGTGGCTGGAGCTGAGCTGACCTAAGGAACTCTGTTAGGTGGGTATTGCAGTTATCTGAGTGGGATAGAAAGGCGACAGAGCAAGGGTGAACAGAGAAGACCCATCTTACCATGCTATGGTAGCTAGCTCTTTATGTCAAGGCTGAGACATCAGGATCTGCAGCAACAAACTGTTCTACTGAACAATCCCAGATGCAACTCCAGCTGTCTCCAGGACATATTTAGTATCAAGCTCTTGATGCAGCAATATAAGCATTAGTGAACTTAGAGAGAAAATATCTAGATATTAGACAAGGAGTATTTAATTATCCATCGAAATCATCTGTAATTTAGTAACTTTTAATATTGATACTGCAAATGAATGTTAATACCTTTTTTTCCAACCAGTTTCAAATTGGACTGACATCTAGAATTGTAATTAGGGAAAAGAAAAAAATATGAGAAAATGAAAAAATGGAAATAAAGTGTCTAAACGGGGAGGGAAGGAGGGGGTGAAGGGAGGGCAGGGACAAGGGGAAAAATGAGAACCAAGACCTGTCGTGTAAAGGTACAAGATCCCAATGATGAATGTAACTGTACTGTCTACCTAGAATGTACCGATAAACTCAATAAAAAAATAGAATTGCAATATATAGCAAATAAAAATACAAGCTGCCTGGCTAAATTTAGGTTTCAAAGAAAGAAAAAAAAGTAGTACAGATATGTTCCCTAATGTGGGACATACTTAGAGTGCACTACAAGCATTCGTTATTTATCCAACATTCAAATTTACCTAAGCATCTAAATTTTATGTCGTGACTCTTCTGACCCCAAACATTACCTGCAGATAATAACATCCTTCAGCCGTATGCAACCCATCGAACGCTCCTAAGGCATAAACTTCATCCGACCTCTTCTCAGACATCTGGTAGCTTAGATGACAACAGAGATCTTTCTGGCAAACTGTGTAATTCCCTGTGATTCCTTTGAGCTCCACAAAGATGTATTCATCAAAAAAGACCGTTCCTTTAAATCCCTGGCTTCCTGTTGGGAGGGCTTCTATACCGCTGGCATAAGAAGTCCAATTCACTGTGGGGCGATATGGACGGGAATCCAGTTGGGACAGCAGGAGTTTTCCCTCCTTGGTCTTCATATCATAGTGAAATCTTCTTGGAAAATCTGGCGCATAGATGCCACTTCCTGGAAATCAACCATTGGAGGTACCGAGTGAAAAGGGATTTCAGAGCTGTTACCGTTGCTGTAAACTCAAATCATCATTTCATTTCCTCTAAGCCATATATTTTATTAATTATTGGTAAAATACGCTGATAAGGAGCCAGAGAGATGAGACAGAATCCAAGAAAATATGACTCCAGGAAGGAACAGTTTTGTGTAAAAACAGAAAAGGAGTACAGACTCAAGTTGAATAAAACTAAATCTACATGGTAATTTAGATTGAGATTAATTATGCAGCATATCACCTGCTAGGTGTTTAAAGATCAAGAGTTGTCTAGAAAGCCACATGCCCATCATCTCAACTCTCAAGGAGCTGAGGTAGGAGAATCCTAAGTTTAAGCCTGGCTTGGGCAGTTCAGCAAGTCCCTGACTCAAAATAAAATTTATAAAGGGCTGTGGATGTTCCCTCCACTTCCCAAAAGCTTTCTTCCATTTTGCCCCTTATTTATCCCTTGGGTTTCTCACACAAGAGAAACAATGAGATATTTAAACTTGTGTATCCAATATTTTGCACTTAAAATTATGGTCTTGAGATGCATCCATTTATTTTAAAATGTCTCATGCTCATCTATCTTTATGTCAGTAGTGCTCCATTGTACACAAAAATCACATTTTTGCAAGGGAGGGGGAAAGAGAAAGAAGGAAAAATGATTTCAAAAAGTGAATGGAAGGGCTGGGCCTGGTGGCGCATGCCTGTAATCCCGGCACTCGGGAGGCTGAGGCAGGGGGATCGCTGTGAGTTCGAGACCAGCCTGGGCTACGTAGTTCCAGGTCAATCTCAATAAAAAAAAAAAAAAAAAAAAAAAAAAAAAAAAGTGAATGGAAGGAAAAAAGGGAGCAAAACTTTTGTAATGGGAAGGGAAAGAAAGGTTGAAGGGAGGGGAGGGGATGGGAAAAAGGGGGAATTAAGATATATTCTAGAGAAATGGGGAAAAAATAAGATCCAAGGTATATCGTGTAAAGGTACAAAGTCCCAATGATAAATGTAACTATTGTTTACTTTAAATGTACCAATAAACTTAATGAGGGGAAAAAAAAGATATATTCTGTACAGGTACAAATTCCCTTTGATGAATGTGATCATTATATATATTCCAATTAAAAAAGACTCAAAAGCTGTGGATGTAGCTCAGTGCAAGGGGGCTGTTTAATCCCTAGTACAAATAAAAAGAACAGTCAGAAGTGACTGCATTGAGAGTACATGTGAGTTACCAAAAGGTGATTTTTTAAAACTGAGTCTCAAAGACCACAACTTACCTGTCATTCTCTTCAAGGGGTTATGTAAATTGGAAGCAAGAAAATTGACACCCATTCCCATAGCCCAAGCTGAATGGAACTCAATGGCTGACAAATGTGGCAGAACATTCATCCAAGCCGCGGGGAAAAGTATGGTGTTCACATGGAAATCTTTCACCAGCGTGACAGCAGGATCATGGAAGAGGATGTCAAAGCACGTGAAAATGCCAAACTTTCCAAAAGCGGTGTCGAAAGTCACTATCTCAACCTCCTTGGGTGTATCGAATTGCTCTTCACCCATGAAAAGGTTTTGCTGTGATAAATAGAAGATTAAAGGAAAGAACCCCTGTTAAGATGTCACTGTGCCTGGAAAAGCGGACACTCATCTAGTGGGCAGCGCCAGTTTCATCTATGATTGCGGTCCTCACAGGGACACAGGCAGTCAGAGACCCCTCCAGTCGGGTGGAGCCTGTAGCTCAGTCTTCACACTGTCATTGGGCACCCTTATCTCTAAAGATGACCTTACAAGATAAAGGAGTTCAATGCATAACCTCTGTTTGCCAAGGATACTGCACCATTTCTTGTGAGCAGAGAACTTTACTTCTTGTGAGCAGAGAACTTTACGTGTGCTCCTCTCTCAAGGACAAGCCTGTCTGATAAGTGAGTTCCTAGGCACCCACTCTAAGAGTCTCTTACCATACCTACTCATTACTTTTTGTGTTTTGTTTCTGCTCTGTTTCTAAAGCATCCTTATTATCAGTTATAACAATTTTCCCCTCCTGCCCACTAATTTATTAAGCATTCAAACACCTGTTAATTACACATTTACCTTATGGTAGCGGGCCACCAGCTTCCCCTGAGAATCGAACACCACATTGGTGTTATATTGGTAACGGCCATGAGGAGGACACTGAGGGTCACTGGAGTTGCATGGCTTCTTGTCCCCTATATTTGCCACCACGTAGATAGCATTGTCCTTGGCCAGGCAGCTGAGTCTTTCTTGTACAGGGGTGTGGCCAAATCTGGGATATTTTATCAGAAGAAAACATTTTAATGAAAGCTTAGCGTTTAACTTAATTCAGAATGATAGCTGCCTGAACCAATTTTTTCCTATACAAAAAAATAAATTCTAAATAATAGGCCAGTGAATGTAGTTCAGGGTGCAGCAACTGCCTGGCAAGTGCAGGGCTCTGAATTCTATTCCTGGTACCAAAAAAGAAAAAAAAAACTACAAAAAAATTTTCTAAATAACAAGAGGTAGGGCCGGGGATATAGCTTAGTGGTTTCGGCGCCTGACTGGGAAGCACAAGGTCCTGAGTTCAATCCCCAGTACCTCCCCCTGCAAAAAAAAAACCAAAAAAAAAACAATAGGTAGAAGAGAAGGATTAAGACAAGAAGGAATCTGGGCAGAGTGGCACAGGTTTATAAAGCAACTGTTGTGGGAGGCTGAGGCAGGCAGATCACAAGTTTCAGCCCAGCCAGGGCAACTTAGTAATGTAGAGATTCTGTCTCAAAATTAAAAATTTTAAAACAGAGCTGGGAATGTAGTTCATTGTGAAGACCCTGGGTTCAATTCCTAGGTGGAGGAAGAGGAAGAGGAGGAGGAGGAAGAGAATGATGAAGAGGAGGAGAGGAAGAAGAAAAATGAGGAAGGGGAGGGAAAGGGGAGGAAAAGGAGAATGAAGGATGAACACAGAAAAAGCAGAAATTATTCCTAATAAAGACCAGATGTAGGTCTACAAGAATGACATTAAAATAACAATCCTAAAAATGCTCAAGGAATATGTCGACAAAGTCAAGAAAATGATGCATGAATAAAAAGAACTATCTATAAAGTAAAGCCTAAACCAAAAGGAAATTTTGGAGCTGAAAATCACTACCACTGAAGTAAAAAATGAGGAATGCAAAGATTTGTCAGACAGAAGAATCAATTATCATGAAGACAGAATAAGTAAAATAATTGAGAAACAACAAAAATTGAGGAACAGGAAATAGAGCCTTAGGGACCTGTGCAACACCAAATGGACCCAAACTATCCATTGTAGGAGTGCTAGAAATGAAAGTAATTGTTTGAAAAGATAATGGCCAAAAAATTCCCAAAGTTGAAGAGGACATGAATAATCTAAGAAGCTGAAGACACTCCAAGCAGGATGAGCTCAAAGGACCCGCACTGAAATATATCACACTCAACTTAAAGCCAAAGACACAATGAGGATATAAAAAACAGCAAAAAAAATATATATATACTCCTAACATGCTCATGATCCCCAATACCATTACTGGAGATTTCTCATCAGAAACTTTGGAAACTTTTGGAGAACACGCAATTTTTTTTAATAAAGTTATACATAATGTACTGAAGGAAAAAATTAAGGTTCAACTAAGAATTCTATATCCAGAAAAACTGTCTCCTTTTTTTGCCTTGAGATAGGGTCTCACTTTGTAGTTGAAACTGACCTGGAACTCACTGTGTAGCCCAGACTACTCACGCAATCCTCCTCAGGCTCAGTCACTCAGCCTCCCGAGTGCTGGGATCACAGGCATGAGCCACCAAGCCCAGCTCAGAACAACTGTCTTTTAAAAGCAAGGTAAGCATTAACACATTTCCAGATAAATATAAACTGAGGGAATTTGTCACCACTAAATCTGTTCTGTAAGAACACTTCAATGATCTACCTACACTCACCCAGAACTGTCTTACTAATCCTTTAGTCCACTTTAATTGTCACAGGAACTATGGTGGAAATAGCTATGGAATAAACATGACATGAATCACAAATGAAATTAAAGACAGGTTTGACAATTAAATGATAATGTCAATATGACCTTCTGGAATTTAGGGGATAAAATAAAAGCAGCCTTAAAAAGAAAAAAAAAAGCAGCCTTACAAGGGAAATTCATAGCAGTGAATTACCATATTGGAAAAACAGAGCAAGCTCAAATAAACAACCAAATATTGAAGCTCAAGCTTCTAGAAGAGGTGGTCTTTATCTCAATTTGATAAAAACCACCTATGACAACCAACAGCCAACGTCATACTAAATGGACAAAAACTGAAGGCTTTCACTCTAAAATCAGAAACAAGACAAGGATATCCACTGTCACCACTCTTATTCAGTGTAGTTATGCAAACATTAGACAGAGCAATTAGACAAGATAAGGAAAGAAATACAAAGGAATAAAGATAAGAAAAGAAGTTAAATTATCATTATTTGCAGATGACATGATACTCTACATAGAAGACCCAAAAAAACTCCACCAAAAGTCTGCTAGTTTTAATAACCAAATACAGCAGCAAATCTGGATACAAAGTCAGCACTCAAAATTCAATAGCATTATTGTATATAAATAACAAACTCACTGAGAGAGAAATTAGGTAAACAACACCTCTTACAATACCATCCAAAAGAATGAAATACTTAGGAATCAGTCTAATGAAGGAAGTAAAAGATCTCTACATTGAAAGATATAGTATTCTGAAAAAGGACATCTAAGAAGATCTCTGAAAATGGAAAGATCATTTGTTCTTGGGTAGGAAAAACCAGTGCAGCGAAAATGGCCATACCGCCAAAATTGTCATATAGATCTAATGCAATGCCATTCAAAATACCAACAGCATATATCACAGAATTAGAAAAAACAATCCTAAAATTCATTTGGAATCAGAAGAGACCTAGAATAACAAAGACAATTCTGGCAACAAAGGCAAGGTGTGGGACATCATAATCCCTGACTTTAAATTATACTACTGATAGAGAGAACTTTTGTAAATTATCTAAAAACCCACAAAATGCTAGGAAATGTAAAATGACTTTTGCTGTCTCTAACAACAATATGCTTTGTTCAGTTCAAAATTAACAGACACCAGAGGCATCGACCATGAAATGGGACATCTGGCCTCATCCCGACCTTGCACACCCACTTCCTGTGCACTAGAATAATCTTGAGGTAAACTCTCCAACTACAAGGAATCCTTACTTATGGGTTAAAGTGAACTTTCTTGCTTGTACATGGGTAATGTGAACTGAGGAAATGAAATGTAAACACCTGAATGAGATCCTGGCTGTAAAACCTACAAAGAAGAAGCTGCAACCCAGTATGGGGTTGATCCCTGGCACTGCTCTTATTGCAGTCAGCCTTTTGCTGGCAAAGTAAACCTTTTATTATTTTACTTCCATTCTGCATCTCTGTGTGTGTGTCACTTACACCAATTCCTTCTGCAATACTACAAAGCTACTGTGATAAAAACAGCAAAAAACGAAACAAAACAGACCTAAGGATCAATGGAACAGACTAGAGGGTGCAGAAACAACTCCAGACATACTCAACCACCTCATCTTTGACAAAGGAGCCAACCACCTTCACTGGAGGAAAGACAGCATCTTTAATAAATGGTGCTGGAAAAACAGTCTTGCCACATGCTGAATATTAAAATTAGACCCATATATTTCACCATGCACTAAACTGAAATCAAAATGAATCAAAGATCTAAATATTAAAATAGAAACCCTAGGCTGGCTGGAAGAGAGGTCAGGCAGAACTCTTAATGACATTGGCATCAGCAAAGGCTTATGAACAAAACCCTGATTACAGAGGAAGTATCACAAAAAATCAACAACTGATATCTCATCTTATTAAAAAAGTTTTTCACTGCAAAAGAAAACACTGAGTGAAGAGATGACCCACATTGTAGAAAAAAAAGTTTTTGCCAGCCGTTCCTCAGACAAAGGACTAATATCTAGAATATATAAAACTCAAAATATCAGAACTCCCAAATTTAAAGACTCAGTCCAAAAATGGGCTTCTGAAATGAATAGACATTTCTCAGATGAAGAAGTAGAAATGAGAAATAACATAGGAAAAAATGTTCAACATCACTAGTCATTCTAGAAATGCAAATTAAAACAATGCTGAGATTCCATCTTACTCCAGAAAGTATGGCTGTTATTAAGAAATCAACCAATAACAGATGCTAGAGGGGCTGTGGGGGAAAAGGAACACTTCTTCACTCTTGGTGAGAGTATAAATCAGTGCAACTACTGTGAAAATCAAGGTGGAAAGTCCTCTAAAAACTAAAACTAGAGGTTTGATTTGATCCAGCTGTTCTCTTTCTAGTATCTTGCCTAAAGCATTAAAAGCATTATACCACAGCAATATATGCTCACCCATGTTTATAGAGGCACAGTCAGTAATAGCTAAATTTTGGAAACAGCCCAAATGCCCATCAACCAATGATGAATGGATAAAGAAGATGTGGGTTTTTTTTTTTTTTATACAATGAAGTACTATTCTGGCATAAAGAAGAATAAGCTTGGGACATTTCTAGCTAAATGTATGCTCCTTAAGACCATACTCTTAAGTGAAATAAATCATACATATGTATTTAATAATACATTTTCTCTCTGGTGCAAGAAACTGAAAGTGCAAATGAAGTCCAAAATGTGTAAGATATTGGGAAATGTGAGCAAAATGTCAAATAAAATGGGGTACAAAGGGCGGGGAGAAGGATGACGAGGGAAAAAAAGGAATAGGAAAAAGGACAACAGGGCTGGGGATTTGGCTCAGTGGTTCCACCACTTGCCTTGCAAGTGCAAGTTCCAGAGTTCAATCCCCGGTACCAAAAAACAAAACAAAACAAAACAAAACGAAAAACAAGACAAAAGGACAACAAAAAGAGAGTATAGAAGGAAAAACTGAAAACAAATATTTTGTAAATAAGGTGAAAGGGGTTGAGGGGAGGAGAACAGAATGAAAAAAAAAGAAGAAGCAAGATATTTCCTGTACAGGTACAAATTCCCTCTGATAAATGTGATCATTATGTATATCTAAAATGTACTGATAAATTTAAAATATGTTAAGAATTCTGCAAAACATAAAATTTAAAAATCTAATTAATGGACAGAAAAAGCAAGGTTACTGCATTCATAAAATTAAAAAAAGAATATACAGAAAAGCAAATGAGAAGGGAAATCCAAATGTCTCACTACAAAAAAACAATCAACTCAATACAAAAGAAGATAGTAACACACAGAATGAGAGACCAAAAGGTACAAGGCCCTCAGAAAGCCAATGGTAAAATGACACAGGGAAGGCCCTCCTTGTCTTCAAATTTCAGTGATAGAAAGCTAACACGGGACCTACCCAATGGCCAGCAACACATTTTCCCAGATAAAACGAAGTGATGATTATGATACAAATTTTCAATAAAGAAAATGTGTTTTTTTTCCTAAAATGGAGTACTACTCAGCCACAAATAATGAGAAACTAGAGACATTTATAGCTAAGTGGATGCACACTGAGGCCCTACTCTAAAATAAATAGGACACTGTGTCGATACCAAATAGTATCTCTAGTGTGAAAAACTAAAAGTATAAATAAAGATCAAAATGTATAACTGATATTGTGAAGTAGGATGAAAATGTCTAAAGGAGTAGGGGAAATAGGTGGGCTAGTGGAAAAGAAAGAAGGGAAAAGAAAAAAATGTGAGAAAAGGAAAAACGTGGAAACAAAGTCTTTGTAAATAGGGAGGGGAGAGGGGGTGAAGGGAAGGCAGGAGAGTGGCGAAAAACAAGAACCAAGATACATCATGCAAAGCTACAAGATCCCAATGATGGATGTGACTGTTTTGTGTACCTAAAATGCACCAATAAACTTAATGAGAAAAAAAAAGAAATTTTCACATTTTGTTTCTTTACCTGTTAGGATTATCACAGGGGATCCAATTCACTTGAGGGCCTGGAATATCCTCCAAGTAGGGGTAGATAGAATCCCTGGTGAAATTGACGCCGTAAATACCATCTTCTGGAGTCACAATAATATGTGCACCCTGTCAGAAACACAGCTCATGAGAACTTTTCTCAAATACACAAAAACCGAAGGAGGTGGGTGCTCCAGGAAGAAGTGGGAGACCAGTAACTTTAATCACCTATTTTCTGAATTTTTATAACTTCCTGTCCTTTCCAAAACACTTTGAGCTTCTAATCCTGCCATTGCAGTTTCTATATGACTCTTTCACTCTTTCTTAGGCACGAACAGTTTTCCAGGACACTCACGGCTCTGGCACCCACTGCTATTGCAATCATTAACCACGTGCCCAGCTCTTCCCCAGATATGTCCCTACTCTTGTACTTTGACCAGTCACTGTGCCAGTCTGTGTCAGGATCGATTTATAACTCAAACGCTCTGTTCCTCTTTTACTCCAGCTTCCCTGCCACTGTGCCCTGAAAACAGGATTCCTGCTCCTCACAGGGAGCGGGGACTCATGGGCTGCCTTACCTGCAGCAGCCTAGAAGTACTTCTGGAGCTAATCTGACACCTTTGGATTTGAGAGTCACCTTGAAAAGCTGCTATAGCCTTTAAGCAAATAGTTGGACAAAACATGAAAGAGAACTTCAAATCGCCTGGTAACCTTTTAAATTGTAATATGTATGACAATATATTGAATATTCATTGTGTGTGGTTGTGCACTCTTGTAATTCCAGCTACTGAGGAAGCTGAGGCATGAGGATTGCAAGTTAGATGAGACTTTGTCTCAAAACAAATTTTTGAAAAAGGCTAGGATCTAGCTCCATGCTTCCTGGTTTCAATTCTGCAAGCCTCCGTACCACAAATAAATAAATATACACATACACATGTATATACACAGACCTACATACCTATGAGTTTTGTCTCACTTTCCACATCCCTGTTTTATACCTAATGTACAATTCTTAATTAAACAATAGCTGTCCACACACTTATACGCATGACTTGCTTTTAACTTAATCACTCAACTCAAGGGCTTAACATAAATCAACATACACACTCTTACCTTGTAATTAGATTCAAATATGAAGTATACAACACACACTAATAAGTAATTTGCACCTTGGATGTAATACTTCTCAACCTGTAAATCCACCTGAAAACCTACAAACTCTTTAGAGACCCCCCAGAGTACAGCAGAGCACTAAAACCCCAAGAACAGCACCGGGTCCCTGCCCCATTGATCCTCCATCATTACAGCAATGCTGAATTGACAGCCAGCTCCTTGAAGTTCTGCTGCTTCTCAGTGTTGACCAGAATGTTATTCTCTTAACCTTGTTCTTATTGCTAGGGCAGCAGATCAGTGTCCTTGCTCTAACAGTGTGAGTAGAAAGTTGGATTCTAATTGGAACCAAAGCTCTTGGCTGTCCTGAGACACAAATACTACCCAGAAACGTTACCGACCCTCACAAGGACCCTATCCTCTCGACTCGCCACCTTTCCCATAGACTTGGCACTGGCAAGAGAAGGGAGATGGTACCTGCTTGGCCGCTGCTGTGATTGCTCCTTCCAGAAGATCCAGGTTCCTATTCATCAATGCCAACGCCTCTTCAGGAGACACTGGTGTTGGGATAGCATTAGGCAATATCACTGCATGTTCATAAACAGCTGCGATAAAAGTATCCAGGGAGATGACTTTTGCGACACAGAAAACTGAAAATGCTGCAGAAACGAACAACTGAGAAGGAATCATGCTGAAATCCAAAGACTCTAAAAACCAGGACATGTCTTGCCATTTATACAAATACAGCAGAGTGAGTCACATGACTTTCAGAACTTAGGATCTTAAAGACAAATTACAAAAGCTTATCTTCAGCCAGGCGTGGTGGCACATCCCTGTAATCCCAACAGTTGAGAGGCTGAGGTAGGAGGGTCACTGTGAGTTTGAACTACATAGTGAGAAAACCAAACCAAACGAAATAAAGCCAGCTTTCAGAAAACTTCATGTCTTCAGACTGTGAAACAACACAAGACCCTCTTTCCTTGCAAAGATAATCTGGGGGTGGAACTCAGGAAATGTGTGGAGCCACTTGGCAAAGTTCCAGAAACCGAGTGGTCTGAGCAACAAAAATGTATTGTTCCGAAATGTCAAAGTTGGAAAGTGTCACCAGGGTTGATTCCTCTTTAGGGTATGAGGCAAGGAAATGGTCTGGGCCTGTCTCCAGGACTCCCACATGGCTATCTTATTTTTCTTCAGGAGGTGTTTTCCCTGTATGTATTTGTGTCCAAGTTCCCGCTTTTTATCAGGAAAACAGTCATTAGATTTAGTGCCCACCCAGCTCCAGCACAACCTCATCTTAACTAATTAAATCTCAAACAACACTGCAATGAACACCACATTCCAAGGTACGGGATTTCAATGTATGAACTTTTGTAACTCAGGTGTCTGAGACTGGCAACATAATACATGTGATTTAGTATAGGCAGCTAAATTAGAGAGAAATAAATATATGCTCAGAGAGGGACTCTCAAGGAAGTCAGCAGAAAAAAAAAATAAAGACAGAATCATGGCCAGAAGCTCATCTGCTGAAAGTCAGGCCTCAAGATAAAGATGCCATGGCTAGGCCTCCATGCCTCCCCCAAGGAAAAACAATAACCTGAAATTCTGTAATTAGTAAGTCCAGATAGACATCAGTCGACCGGGTGGGTGACCAGAGCATCCAGATCCATCCCTTCCCAGTAATGTCTTTGTTTTTCTATATAACTTTGCTATGTGACTCGTTTCCCTATTGGATCAATATTAGCTAGTCATCTCCTATAGGTTTGCTGTAGCTTGACCCGTGCTGTACCCATGTTGTGACTTTGCTTTAAATTTCCCTTGACAAAGGGCCTTGGGGTCCATCCCATTCCCGATCCCTCCTGGAAATCCAGGAGCTATTCTTCTCTTTTTGTGTTCAGTAAAACTCTCCCAAATTCTTTCGGTTCCCGATTTCATTCCTCGATGGTTTGCGACCACAACCTCAGCGCATTTGACATCTAACAGGTTGGGAGTTATATTTCCTCTATGTCAATTTGAAGTCACAGAAGCTGCCATTCTCAGAAGAGAAGACAGGCAAATACAGAGGATAAAAGCTCGCAGGAACCGTCTCACACTGAAACCAGGGCGCTGGTAAGGATCACCTGACTTGTGCTTAGTTAATTACTGGAAGCCCGGTGTAAAGAATCGTGACACTGAAACCTCAGACAAGTAAGTGTGGCTAAGGTAAAGCCACCCTCACACTCTCCTGAGTTTTCTCTCCTGGTGTGCCACCAAGTTCTCGGGGCAAATGGACTTAAATCAGTCCACAAATTGCCTTATGTTTCTTGCAGGCAGAGGGGAAATGAGCTCATCTTGAACAGTGCCCAAAGCAGAGCCTGCCCTTGAGGGAGGGCATTTTACCTGAGCCTGTTCAACAGGAGCAAGGGAAACTTCAATGCCAATTCCTCTAACTTTTGACAAAGGGGAGGGTAAACCTCAGCTCCAACTCTCTCTGCCTTGTCTCCGCCCTAAAGACAGAAGAAACTTTGCCTGGAGGAACTCCGGAAGGTGGGTCTTAGACCTGTGCAGGATCAGTAGGACACTGGTACTTTGTCACAGGACTAGGGGACACTTCCTCCTCCCTGTGCACTACCCTCACATCCATGCTGAGTTTCCAGACCCCCTAGTGTGCACCAGGCAAGGGCAACTTGCACTGAAACATTGCACTGCTTGCAGTAGAAGGTCCTTGGCTGGGCCCGACAGTCTCTGTGGCTGCTCCTGAGCTGGTGTCCTCACCCCTCATGCTCTGGGTATGAGACTTACAGCCCCACGCTGCCCACCTGCTCTGCTCACACAGGGTAGGCGCCACTAAAGAAGCTGCTTTGGATGTGGAGAAAATCTTTCATGAGCCCACCAGGCTCTTCCAGCCAAATCTGCATGGATGGAGGGGCTGCTTCTGGAGCAGAAAAGGGACATCTTCACTGCCAAGAGGCGGAACGAGGCCCACACTAGCCTGACCCACAGTCTGTCCCTGCTGCCAGAGCAGTGATGACTCCAGCCCAGGAAGCAAGCTCCAAAAAGAAACTCAGGAGTAAATCTTGTCCCATTCAAGCAAGGAGAATCTGAAACTGGAGAAATGAAGCCAAGAAACAGGACTGAGTGCTTTCACGTCATCTCCTGCCCTTCCCTGGTGGACTCTGAAGAGCCAGTAGTGTGTGTGTGTGCACCTGTGCGTGCAATGAACTATAAGAGGGCAGCTCTGTATCAGCTCTAGATACATGAGCTGAGGACTCATATTCAGTGGTCAGGACTCAGTGTCACCACTCTCCTGGACCTTAATCTAGTTGATAAAGTTGTTCATGTTGTAAGTACATATTTTGGCCATAAGATTTAATAAAAGGATTTTTACACTTTTAGCGTAACCTCTAAACATTGTCCCATGACCATTTCCAAAGAACAAAATTGAAATTTAATTTCATTGGCTTTGTTTTTGATTCTAGAATTGGGCAAGGAAATATAGAACAAAGTAAGTGTTACAATAGTTTTTCTATAGACAGAGAAGGGCTGGGCTGCACTACATAGTGAGACCCTATCTCTAAAACACAAACAAACAAACAAGGTAAAACTTCATTGGGGACAGTACAGACATTCCATCTTGGAGACTGACAGCTGAGGAATGATCATGAGATCTGATTTTGAAAAGAGGGAAGAAGTCTGATTAGATAAGATTGTGTACAGTGAAGGGAGATAAGGAAATCAAGGCCAATGTGCACACCAAGAGAAGGAAGAAGAAGGAAGAAGCCTCAGAGGGGCAGATGTTGGACCATAAAGAGGGAAGCCACCCATGTCATGCATGGCCAGAACACCCAGGCCATGCTCCATTACCTCCCTAGCATCTGAGGGCTGCAGTTCTTGAAAACAGAATCTAAGCGAGATGGGAGTGGGGAGACCAAAGGCATTTTCTGCTGCCCAGAAGGCCTGTGGCTTTGCTATACTGGATTCAATTATATTGGAAGGGAATAAACCCCTTGAAAAAGCCTAGGAACACATTCATCGCTTTCTGTGGGGACAAGTGCACTCTGAACTCTGAACTCGGTGATCCTCAGCCTCCCCAGAAAATGCAACTGCTCTCCAGCAAGTCTCTTCCGAGAGTTAATCAGTGACCAACAGACGCACTCCAAGAGCCAGGGAAAGTGGGCCAGAGGTGCTAGGGGTAAGGTGACCAGGCTCTTTGTAAGGAAGCTCCCAGTCCAACACAGGTTACAACCGATGCCTGCAAGCTGCGTGGGGGGCCTTAACCAGAATGGGACAGCATTTAAGATGGAGTTAATTCAGATGGGAACAATGAGATCTGAAGAAAGTTATTTATTTCTTTATTATTTCCATTCAGAGTATCCAATTTCCATACTGATTGAACCTACAAATCAAGTAGATTATGGTGAAAAGATAATGGAACTATTTTAATTAGCTACAAAGTCATTCACAGTTACTTGAAAAGATGCCCCTGTCCACAAATGTCTGTCTTTCACTTCACTGTGATCAAATAAACTCTGCATGTTCAAAGTTCAGCCTGTGAATTCACAAATGATGTGCACTCATCAGGATTCTCCAGAGCAACAGAACTGACAGGACATGCACTGATGCAACACATTTACTATCAGGTGCAGAGTCTCCGAGGTGCGGAGACTTAAGGAGTCCTGTGCTCTGCACTGCGTCTGCGAGCTGGAGCCCCAACATGGCCAGGGTGCAGTGTGAGGGGCTGACAGGTGAGCTCCGGGTGTCAGTTCCGTCCACACCTGAAGGCCCAAGCATCAAAGGCAGCAGACAACCCCGGTCCCAACTCAGACAAGCAGGAAGTGCACACAACCTTCCTCCGCATTTTTGCGCTCTTCAAGCCTTCGGGGGACTGGATGACGCCCGCCCGTATCTGGAGGGCAGCATTCAGTCCCCCAGTTCTAAAGCCTTCACAGACACTCACAGAAAGAACCCTCACCCAGCTGACTGGACACCCACGGCCGGGCTGGAACATCAGCCATCGCTTGGGGGAAGCGACATTCGCGCGCGCGCACACACACACACAGGAGCAGACGCTGCTGCGAGGGTCTTTCCAGGTTCGCCTCCCACTTCTATGTATGTTCCACTCTACAGATCCACACTTACACACTACACACACGTGTGGGAGGCGAACGCAGCACCCGTACATGAGCTACACCACATATGCACACACAACCTGTCTTTTTTAATTTTTTTAATTGAAAGACATCCTTATCATATGCCTGTAATGCATACTAATTACATTCATCTTCAGGAACTGGTGTGTAGACATATTGGACTGTGGTCGTTTTTATTTCTCCTTCCCTTCTCTGCCCTCTGGTCTCACCCTATTCTCAGACCCTTCCCATCTGTTGCTCATGACGGAATACCTCCGGTTGGGTCAACTATAAAGAAAAGAAGATGTATTTGGGCGTTACTGGGGCTCATGGTTCTAGTCCAAGGCACATGGACCACATCCCACAATGGCTGGCACAGTCCCAAGGTGGTGCTGGACATGGCAAAGTGACAGGACAAATCATGTTCAAACCACAGGGCACTCCTTGCTTTTTAAATCTGAAGTGTATTTGTTGTCACAGCAAGTTTCTGGCATCTTTTCCAGGCAGACACTAAAGGCCCTCCTTCTCTCTCCCTCTTCCAGCACCCACACCTGATGCTTTGCCAGGTTAGCCCCAAAAGGCTCTGGTGCTGGGGATCATTGCAATTTCCCAGGCCACTGCCCGAAGTGTGGAAGGTCCTTCTCAGACACTCCTCCATACAGCACCAACACTAAGACAGGCGAAGGCTCCTTACGTGTCCCTCCCTTGCAACCTAATTAAAGAAATCAAAGGGTTAACTCCAGAGCAGAGCTTCCTTTCCAGCCCAGAGGCCTTCTCAGGCAAGATCACTCCTCAAGCAGCCCAGAGTACTACAAAGCACCCAAGACTTGGGTTCATGCTTTGGGTCTAACAGAAAAGAGGTTTGGGTATCAGAGCAGCAAATAAGTCTTCAGAGATGGTCGAATCCAATAATGTATTAAACGGTGCCCTTTAAATTCAGCACAATGGCACATGCCTGTAATCCAAGCGCTCTGGAAGGCTGAGGCAAGAGCACCCTTAATATTGAGCCCAGCATGAGCAAATTAATGAGACCCTGTCTCACAATAAAGCATTAAAAAATGGGCTGGAGATGAAGATCACTGAGAAGATTATAGGTTCGAGCCCTAGTACAACCATAAAAATTGTTTTGTTGAACTAATGGAATACTACACAAATTATTAATGATCATTCTCATTATAACAACTCTCACAATAACCCATCCACAAAGCAAGTTAAAAATGAACTTTTTCATGCGTCATATTTAACTCGAACCTTCTACACCATGCAGCACAACAGAACAGCAGCTAGAAGCCATGGTCAGCAATCAATATCTTCATTTTAATTTCTCTATGGCTTCAATAATTGTTACCTTGATCTCTACATCACATTTATGTAGAAAAGGGATTCCCAACTTCTCCATCACAGCCTAAGGACTGTCTGAAACCACAAATTGTGTTTCAGATCACTGTTTCCACTTATCTTTAAAATGCCCTTCGTAGAATATGAACAATAACATTTTTTTTTTTTGGTTTTTTGAGACAGGGTCTCACTATGTAGTCAAGACTGACCTGGAACTCACCATGTAGCCCAGGCTGGTCTTGAACTCACAGCGATCCTCCTGCCTCAGCCTCCAAGTGCTGGGATTACAGATGTGTGCCCCCAAGCCTGGCTGAGCAATAACATTTCAACAGCATCCCATTATTTGGAAGATTTTCTAAACCATCTGCTCTAAGAAATTTGTCATCTTGAAAACCTCCTACCTCCTAGTGCCTCTTGGGGGGCCAGCTGACTCCCACGCAGGACAACCTGGGGGGAGATGTAACTCATTCCAAATGTGCCACTGAGGGAGAATTATTCAATCCTGGTGAAAGATGAGCCCACGGGCTCCCTGCAGGCCCTCAGGTCAGTGGTCTGGCATTTCAGGAGGATGCACATCTGTGCAGGGAAAGCAAAGAGAAGCAGTCAGAAGCACAGACATATTCCTCAGCTAAAGAGCACAATTTCGAAGAATGGCAGAATATTTAAGCTGCCTCACAAGCCATGTTTTTTAAACTACAGGTCACAACTTCTTAGTGAATCCTAACTCCGATTTAGTGGTTAAGGTTTTCATTGTTTTCTTCTTTTTCTTTTTAAATGAAGCCAAATAGAGTAGACCAGGATTTTAAAAATCAGAGTGTATTATGTATTAATTTTAGCTATTACTAACCTAGTATGGATTATTTCATAAATGGATTGAATTCAGTATCTTCTTTAAGCCAGTCACACATCCACATGGCTACACTGAGTCAGAGTTTAAAATGTTGGACCCCAGTTGCAGATAGTTTGGAAAACACTGCCCTAGAGTCACCTACCTAATGGAAAAATAGAACACACCAAAGTTGCAGCTTTTTAAACTTCAACTTGGCCTCCTGAAAACTAACCAATTTGCTTTATGTTTTTACCTTGTAACCAAGAAAACTGATTCTGTTTTTGTTGTTGTTGTTGTTGTTGTTGTCTTGTACTGGGGATAGAACTCAGAACTTTGCACTTGCTAGGCAGGCGGAGACACCACTGAGCTAAATCCCATACTAACTGATTCTGTTTTTGTTAGACTAAATAAAGTAAAGATTTTGGGGGAATAACCATGATGAATAGAACATTGACCAATTAACTAGATCCAGCATAATTTTTAAAGAAAGGCTATGAAGGCGCAGTAGCACTAAGACCACTCCAACACATGCCGACACTTCTACCAGAAGGTAATATTAGCCTTCACCTGTGTGCAGCCTGTCAGCAGCAACCAGGGTGGAGAACTCATCTACTCGCTTCTCAGACATCTTGTATGTTCTGTGCTCACAGTGGTCTTTCAGGCCCTGCGTCCCCCTTAAGTTCAGTGAAGGTGAACTCATTAAAGCAAATCATCCCTGGAAAGTGTGACTCCCCAGTGGGTTCAGCTGGATGCTTCTGGTGTAAGCACTCCAGGCCGGAACTGCAGGGTAGCGGGTGTGCCAGGCAAGGCTGGGACTTCAGTTCTGCAAGCACCAGCTGGCCGCTGTTGGTCTCCATGACGGTGATGCACATTGACTGCTTTGAGAACACAGATTCCACTCCCTGTGCTCAACAGAAAGGTGCACAAATACCAGTTTCAATTTTTCCCCTTCTTCTCTGGGTGTGGAGGATGGAGCCAGGTTCTTGCTTGTGCTATTCAGGTTCCCTACAGCTGAGCAACACCCATCCCAGCCCTTACGTCCTTTGTGATGACAAATGAATGGAAAATTTGCATATTGCATTAAAGTTATTAAAGCTTCAGCATTTTCAAGACAGTTAAGAAGACAGCAGTTACCTTGGCCTAAATCCTATTTCGACTCTGTCTACCATAAGGCCCCACTGTTACTGAAATAGTCATTGAATGTGGAGGTGACCTTTTTACTTCCTGGGCTTTGCTTTTTTTTTTTTTTTTTAGCCAAGTTACTAAGAAACTAGGAAATCTCCCCAAATGTGAAGAATGATTTCAGCTCTCTACTGACCTAGTTAATTTATTTGCCTTTTGAATTCTTTATTTATATCAGTGAAGAGCAAAGCGGTCCAGAGGGGAGTGTGAATTACCTTGAACATGGATATTATAAAAGATGAACTCTAAACTAAGTCTCAAATGGTTTTGTCTTCTCAACAAGATGACTTATTTCAATATTACTAGTAATAGTGGCTAGGATGCTTTATAGAGCTGGCTTTGAATTTTTATGACTTGCATTCTCTTTAATGTAAATCTCCCTTCATGTAAAACTGAGATCATGTTTCCCCGCTTTACTCACAAGAATAAAGCTCCTTTCCAATGGAGTTAGTCAAATTAAGATGCAATGTATCTATGTGCCAATTCCTGATGAATTTAATTATGTGATATATGTGTGTACCAATTCCCCAAGTTGAATGTAATTATTATGTATCATAACTACTTACCCCCCAAATCTTACCATTTCTTAAGCAGGAACCCACGCTATTACTCGTTTTGTGGTGTTGGAGTTAATAAGTGAATCATTAAAGAGAAGTGTGGCTGGAAAATCGATGAAGACTTTCCAAGACTGTCACTACCCTCGGTGCCGGAAGACTGAGTTACCTGCCACGTGTATGTTGGCGTTGTGAGTGTTTGTGAGGAGCAGGTTGACTTGTGTGGCCCTGGCCCATGCCGAATAGAAGGGGGCAGCCAAGAGCAGGGCCAGCGTGTTTACCACGCCTCGGGGTAGAGAACATCCTCTGCTTGAAACTCATCCACCACCACCACAGCCAGGTCATGAGAAAAAAATATCGAAGCAAGTAAAAGCACCAGATTTCCCAAGGGGAGTGTTGAAAGTCACAAGTTCAGAGTCCTTGGGGAAATCAAACTGAATTTCCGGTGCAACAAGATGGCACTGTTAACAACAAAGGAGGAGGAAATTAATAACAGAACAGATTACCAGTGGATGTGGCCAAGAGCTGCATTGTCTTTCCCGGCACGAGTGTCGATGGACATCCCTAAAGTTCCATGCATGTGCAGCAGCCGTGCCTGCCACACAACTACAGAGGAGCTGTGCACTCACCCTGCTGAGACTTTATTTCTCCTCAACCAGCAAATAAAGCCACAGCCGTTGACGATATTAACGATGTGAATATTTCTGCCTTAAACATTACAGGAGCAAATCTTACTCTTTTTTTGTACCGGGAATTGAACTCGGGTCCTTGCTCTTACAAGGCAGGCCACCGAACCGCTGAGCTAAATCCCTGGCTAAAATCTTAAATCTTAAAATTTTCAGTGTTTCCACTGTACTGTAGATATCCACAGCATTTCTGGGGTGAAATCTAACCGCTAAAAAAAGAAACTAACTTTACATAAATCAAAGATGCAAATTTAAAATTAATTTACACAAAGCAATAACCAAGTCTTAGAGCTGGGGATGTAGCTCAGCAGCACAGTGCCTGCCTGGCAAGTGCGAGGCCCTGAGTTCGAGCCCCAGTACCAAAATAAATAAATAAATAATAACCAAGTCTCATTAACTCATAAGCTACTAGGAATTTTATTTTTCAACCTGACTTCTGCTCCCAAAGCCCATGAGGCCCTGGGCTCAGGAGTATGGCACATGCTTGGCTCAGGCTCTTTATGGCTCAATATGTGCCAAATAAGGCACCATCTAGCATTAGTCTTCCCCACCCCTGCTGTTCTCCGAGGGGTCTGTGCTCCTCCACTCCCCTGCAGCGTGGGAGGGCATCCTGAGTCCTGAGGCAAACAGCTCCGAAGGGCCTGATTTGGCCTTTGCAATATTGCTATGAGAGATAAATAAACTCTTCCCGCATTTTTTTCTTCATAAAGATGTAAACTCTGTGTTACTGCACACATGTGGTGCTGAAAGGAAATTTACTGTGGGAAGAAGCTGTCAACAAGAACTAAGAGGGTTAGAGGAACGCAAAGTATGGTTTGACTCTGAGGGACACAGTGCACCCAAAACAAGACCTACCCTTTCTATGGACACCCTTTTCCCGGTATATAAGGAGGAATATTCCCCTCTTTTCAGACCTGCCCTTTCTGATATACATTCTCCAATTGCATATGGAAGAAAATTTTCATTTTTTAATTAAAAGGCCAATTTCTATTTGAGATAATATTTCATTGTGATCAAAGAAACTCTAGTGAAACAAATAGTAGCTTAGTATAAAATATTGTTAGTTGGGAAAAAAAACCCTCTGATATTGTGGAAGAGAAGGAGATTTTTCTATCTTAGAGAATATCAAAATCTTTGTGAGGCTATTATCATATCTGTTTTAATATCCTGCCATATACTATTTTATTGAAGTAATTGAAGTAAATTAAATCTCCTTTTCAATTTGAATTAGAAAGAATTATGAGGTGTATCTGCAGCAGGTACCTCCCCAGCATTCAACAGACAAGCAGACGCACACATCACAGACAAAAGAAGCCAAGCAGAGCTAAGGCAGAGGTACTCTCATACTCTCACCTTACGGAAGCGGGCCACCAGCCTACCCTCAGAATCGGACTCCATGCTGGTGTTGTACTGGTGACGGCCACCAGGGGGTGGTGAGGGTCGCTGGCATCGCGTGGCTTCTTGTCCCCAATATTTGCCAGGACGTAGATGGGGTTGTCCTTAGCCAGGCAGCTGAGTCGCTCTTGCCCTGGGGTGTTGCCAAATCTGTTCAATGGATATTGCCAGAAAACTGACTATACTTTAGTGATTTCCAAAACGCCAGTGTCGCTTTATTTGCTGGTTTCCCGTAACACTAGAGCCCAGGCACAAGAATCAGGAGAAAAGATTTAACACGTCACATGCACCATGGTCTTCGTTTCCGTGAAAGTGAACCTCTCGGAAAGTGCCAGACTTCAGGCTGTAGTGAGAGAGTGATACACGGGAAATAGGAAGCAGGGATGGAGGAGGAGAAAGAGAAAGAGCAACACTTTTTCCGTCTGTCTTTTCCTTTTTTGCAGTATTGAGGATTGAATATAGGCCTTCCTTCACAGTGAGCTCCACCCCTGGCCCTTCTGTTTTATTTACTTATTTATTCATTCATTTATTTATGTTTGGTTGCTGTTGCTGCTGCTGTTTTGAGATAGGATCTTGCAGAGTTGCTAAGTTTACTAGGCTGGGCTCTAACTCACAATCCTCCTGCCTCAGCCTCCTGAAGTGCTAGGATTATAGGCATGCACACCTGGCTACCATTTTTTCTTACGAAGTGTTCCCTGCAAAGTCAATGCAGGCCTTGAAATTTAGCCAATTCTTCTATGAGAAAGACCTACTTTATCACCCAAGCCATAGTCCTGCACTTCTGCTGATATGTGGTGCTGCGGGAAGCACAATTACCAGGCAGCAGACAGCACGAGTCCCGTGCAGCTCATCCTGTACGGACAACTGCAGCAGTGGACAATGAAAATGTAAATGGACACTCACACTGCTGGCTTTCTTCACTTCCCTTACAGGCAACATGCACATTTCTCTCTATTTTAGTTAGGGCCCCCATGAGAAATCCCGAGGAAAATATAGGCCGTGAACTGCTTTTCAGAATAACGTTAAAGCCCATCCACATTCGGGGACATTTACCCTAGAAAGAAGAAGGGGGTGTAGCGAGGTGGCAGCTGGCTTCCAATATTTGAAGGGCTCCCATTTGGGAGATGCGGGCTGTGTTTACAGATGCGCTACAGAAGGCAGAACAAAGACCAAGGGAAGCTAGAAGGAGGTAGATTTTGGCAGAAAATAGGACAGCAAGGCTCAGCAGCCACGTCCCTCTTAGTGAGAAAGTGGATTCTCTAGTTACTGAAAATGTCCGTGTAATATAATCCACTCAGACCCCACTCAGGTATTTAGGCTTAATGCAAAGAGCTGTTTTAACTGCACCTAATCTAATTACCAGTTAGGAGGACATACACCTCCATTTCTTGTCGTAGTTAAAATGCAAATAGTGATATTTGCTATCACTAATGATAAACTGAACGTGCACAACAGAAAGAGTCCCTGGGACCAAGAAAGTGCTCAGTAACTAAGTAGAGGGTGTCAAGTGGGTACCTACACCAGTGATGGCTTCATTGCTTTTGGCAGCTGCTTGAGATCCCTTCCCAATCTCTCTGCAACTGGTGGTGAGCTAATCTTTGGATAAAAAGGAAAAAGTAGTAGCCCATTTCTTTAGATTGCTTTTCCTTCAGAATAAATGAGGTGATATTATCAATATTCATGAAGATGTGTAACAAGTCAGTCATGTATTTTGTGTAATTTTCTCTTAGCTAAGTATTAGTTCCTTGTGGGAGAAACAAAAACTCTCAAGGAATTGTTTGACAAGTCAGCTTTCCAAGTAGTAGTGTTTTGATACAGAGAGATGGTCATGTGGCTCTCTATGATCCCTTTCAGAGACAAACATAAGTAGGAAAGAAACCCTGGATTTCATTTTCAACAACTGTGATTATATTAAATAACTGAATCTCTCCTTTTGTAACACAGAACTAAAAGTTTTCCCTTAGGATAAATGTCTACAGGATTCCATAATGTTAGAAATTTTATTTGTGATTTACCTTCTCAACCTAATGGGATTCATCCTAGTCTAATTATACTTTATGAACCGTCTTTTCCTTAGGAAAGTCACTTTTACCAGTCTAGTCAAATAGAGTAACTTATTGTAATGTTTGCCTTGTGAATTACAGAAAATAATGATTGCTTTCTGTCCTGGGAGAGCCTCATAAGTATTGAGTCATAGCAACATTGATTCGCTGACCATGTAACATTGAGAGAATATTTTTCCAAAGGTGAAAATCTCAGGGAGAGACTTGACTCACAGAGCAGAACTTTACTATTCTAGCTCTGAGTTTGACATTGCCAAGCTCTTTGCTTGACATCGCAATTATTAAGGAAGTTCCTCTCTTGTGTAATAGCTGTAACTCTGACCAGGTAGAAGTAAATATAAAATTAGTAAACTAACTACTTGTTAAAATTTGCTATTTAAAGGAATTAGATACAAATTATTTTAAAGGAAATATACCTAAAGAAACCTACTTGGTAAACTAATTTGTTGTACATATTTTCTTCAAGAAAGTTATGCCAAGGCACAGCTATTAATAATTACTAAAATCTAAGGACAAGAATGCAAACAGAAGTTGGATTGAATTCTTTCTGTTAAAAATAAGTGATAGTGGGCCAGGGATTTAGCTCAGTGGTTCCGGCCCCTGCTTTGAAAGCGCAAGGACCCAAGCTTGATCCCCAGTACAAACAAAGAAAAGAAAAGAAAAAAAAGAGATAGTAACAGCTAACCATAGAAAAGAGCAGTGAAGTACACTGTTTCCATGTCTACCATTTCATCTGACACTCTAATCCACTGCACAGGAAAGTACAGAAGAAGCTTTATTATCCCTGTTTTACAGATAAAGGAACCGAAATGCCGAGCATCTAGGTTGCTATGTCCCCGTATCACTTGGGTAGGGGGCAGTAAGAGATGTTCTCAGTAGTGCTTCCTGTTTTATTTTCATTCACACTGTAAATCATGGTGAAACAAAACTCTTTGGAAACATAGACTCATTCACATTTTCCCATTTGTATGAATGGAGTAGGTGTTCATGGATGAACCCTTGACTGTACTTGAGAACATAGATCCTAGATATTACCATATTTTCACTTTGTTGAAACCCAATTAAACACATATATTACAAAAATTGTGTATGTATTCGTACTGTTATTTAAATTATTTAAATAAAACTCCAAAGACTAATCAAATATCATTATCTTAAGTTAGTTCCAAACAAGAGACATGCCAGATGGTACACACTATGAAACAGTAGAAATGTGTTGTCATGGACTGGCTATTTGCCAGAAAAATTATTAGACAAACAGTGAATTTAGTGTTGGCATTCTCCACTGTCACAACTTGTTTTCCCCAAAATCAAAGGGTAATAACTTTGATTTACCTCTTGGGGTCTCTACAGGTAATCCAGTTCACTTCCGGGGCTGGTATATCTTCCAGATAGGGATAAATGGTCTCCCTGGTGAAGAAACGACCACAGATTCCTTGTTCTGGGGCCACAGTGATACGTGCACCCTGCTCCAAACAAGGGGGGCAAAAGAGTTTCTTATAAATTTCATATACCCACACTCTTGCCAAGTTGCAAATCTCCTTCACAATGTCCCAGCCAGGAGAGAACAGGCAATACCTGCTGGGCTGCTAGCTTGACAGCTTCTTCCAAAACATCTGTTCATCGGGAGCAAAGCTTCTTCATTCGAAGCAGGCCTTTCTGTTCTGTTTTGCACTGTGACAGGATGCTCACATACTGCAGCAACAAAAGTGTCCAGTGCCCTGACGTTCAGGATGAAGAGGGCAGAAATCACTGCTTGTTTTGGAAAATATAGTGTAATCATAACTAAAAGGTAGTGATCTTTCCAAAACAAGCTGAGATTCACATACTTAGTAACAATAGAAAAACAGGTAAGTTAAATCTCTGCTGGTAGCCAGCTGCTTTTATTTTCTCATGAATATATTATGCAATACAGAACCGAGAAAGGATGTTGTGCAAGAAAATTGACATGCAGAAGTAACAATCAGACAGAGTCAAGTGTGCAGTGCTGTGTAGACATTGCTGAGAGTCAGCCCATCCCTAAAAGTGGAGCTAATACACCACCAGACAGTCCACCTCAACTCAAAACACACTGCAGGTGAACTCTGACCTTTTAATATAACGCAATATATCTTTCCAGTAAACCAGTATTTCCACAATAGGGCCAACAGCTACCACAACAGCAATTTGTTGAGAATTTATTCTTCGCTTTATTTTTCCCCCGGTACAGGGGATCAAACTCAGGACCTTGTGTTCCTGAGGCAGGCGTGGTGCCACTGAGCTAAATCCCTGGCCCCCTGTTGAGAATTTACTTATATAACTGTGATGGGCACAAAACACAGAGTGTAAGCTAAGACCTAGTTTTAACCGAGTTCACAAAATGGCCAGAGAGGTCGGACATACACGTGCTAAGAATCAGCTCAGTTTTTGCATCATTAGATGATATCAGCAAAAGCAATGGTTCCTGTTTTATATGGGAGAGAGTGTCCACTGGTCTGAAATGTTGGAAAGTTTGGCTGAAAACTTCATAAAATACACATTATAGCGAGGTCATTGGTGGCAAGTGCCCTGGATGGGGTCTCCAGGATGTGTTTTGTTGTTGTTGTTTGTTTGTTTTTGTTTGTTTGTTTTTTGAGACAGGGTCTCACTATATAGTTGAGTCTGACCTGGAATTCACTATGTTGCCCAGGCTGGTCTTGATCCCCTTGCCTCAGTCTCCTGAGTGCTGGGATTACAGGCATGCGCCAACACGCTGGGCTCCAGATATGTGTTTTAATCCATTCAGACTGCTATAACAAAATGTCAGAGGCTGGGAAGGTTATCATTCACAGAAGCTTATTTCTCACCATTCTGGAGGCTGAGGTGTCCAGTATTAAAGTGCTGGCAGAATCAGTTGCAGGTGAGGGCCTGTGTCCTGGTTCACAGATGACCATCTTCCTGCTGTGTCCTCGCTTGGTGGAAGGAATAAGGGAAATCTTTGAGATCTCTTATAAAAGTGCTAATCCCATTCATGAAGGCTCTGTTCTCACAACCAAATCCCCTCCCAGCAGCCCCACCCTCCTATGGAAGAGTGGTTTTCAACATGAGAATTTAAACCAGCATGAACAGCCCTTCCACTCCGTTAATGCTCCACGAGCAAACTGCTGCTGTAAGATATCCAGAGAAAGGCTTCTTGCTGTGAAAGTTACAGCTCAGGTGTTTTCTGAGAAAAATTCACACAACTCCTCAAAACTATGGACAGCAGAGTTCAGGATGAGGCCACATAAAACATACCCATCGATCTTCACGAAAATAACAAGGAAGTCATAAAGTATGCATAGTTAATGCAAATACCATGGAGATAATGAGATAGTGACAGGATTAATTAAAATGTGAGAAATACTTGTTCAAGGGTTTATTTTTTGTCCTCATTGAGTTTACTGGTACATTTTAGGGATACAGTACAGTTACATTCACTATTGGGATCTTGTACCTTTACATGACAGGTCTTGGTTCTCAATTTTTTCCTTTTACCCCTGCCCTCCCTTCACCCCTCCTCCCCTCCCCCTTTACAAACACTTCATTTCCATTTTTTCATTTTCTCATATTTTTCCCCTTATTACCTTTCCCCTACCCTTCCCACTTTCCCTACACCTTTAGCCCCTTTCTTCCTATTTCACATTGTCCATTATATCATTAGGATCTTATGTACTATTACAGTTTATGTTCAAGTTTTTTTTACAACCTACGCGCATAGTGCTCTGGATTGATTTCTACAACTTGCTTTTGTACACTCTGTTCAGTTGAAATAATTCCCTGTCCAACAAATACTTTCTATGCTGCTCTACTAAGGTGACTGCAGATCCATTTCTTCCTGAAGGTTCTTTGTGGCCTTCTGCCTAAGCTCCAATTCCTCACACAGCACCCCCAAACTCAACTCTCTCTGAGTCATATTTGCAAACTCTTACAGCACATTCTCTTCTATGCTATTGAATGTCTCTGCTTGCTATTGTGCTGGCCTTAAATTTAAATCTTATACCGACACATAATTATATTATCAAAGAAATGAAAAGAGGCTTGAGGGAGGGAATGGGGTAAAATCAAATAAAATAATAAAGAAATGAAGGTTCTGGGGAGATTAAACATCCACATGCAGAAGAGTGAACCTAGACCTCTATCCCTCGCCAAGACAAAACATCCTTGTCCATTAACCATCCAGAGAGGCTAATTTTAGGAGCAGCAAGGCCATGACCACAGGGGTAGTGGACATGTCCCACTTGCTGCTGGCCTTGTCCAGCCATGGCCAGAGCCTGGGACATGAATGAATGCTGGACCAAGGAGTCCACAGTCTGACACACTGGTCTGTTCTGTGTAGCAAAATTTTAGGACAGTCTTTCTGTGTTCAGCTGTAATTTACTTCATATAATCTAATCAAATTCCTCAGTCAATTTTCCACAAAACAGACTTTTAGGTAATTCAAAGTGTTCTTAATTATCCCTTATTTTTAACTATGTTTAGCCATATCACCTTTATAAGTTCAGGAAGGGCAGAGGCTACATTACAATCCTGTGCTATTCTTATGCAATTTAATACCATACACAGCTCTCTATATTTTCTGCTTTATTAAACTCAATTTCCTCACCTAGTTTGAGATGGAATCCCCTTGTTTGATTGAGTTGATGGAACATGTAAAGTCTCTTCCAAGGTTTACATCTCTAATTCTTGTCATTAGTATTGGTTCTTTTTCTTGGGATTCTTTTAAATCTACCTCTGGTCTAGGGAACCTTCAGGTTTGGAGTTTTGTGGTGCTTGCTTGCTTGATTATTTGCTTGCTGTTTTCCACCTGCAGTACTAGGAGAAACCTGGGTCTTCACACTAAGGTCTGACTCCAGCCCTTCTTTTGTTTTCTATTTTGAGACAGGCTCTCACTAAGTTGTTCAGGCTGGACTCCAACTTGCAATTGTCCTGCTTTGGATTCCCAGAGTACTGGGATGACAGGCATGCACCACCACCCCTGACGAATGCCTTGTTTCTAATAAACTTCCCCCGAATTTTCCTGGAAGGATACACCTTCTTCCAGGGTCTCCACAGTGTTTCCTGTGTCCTTGTCTCTGAAAAAGCAACTGTCTGGCATAAATTCACCCCAGAAAAGAGTATCTGGGGAAAAAGAAACTTTCTACGGGATATGGATTGCTTTATGCTAAGAAAAAAATTATTTTCTATTTCAGGTTGACATTCTGACTTTTCTTGGTTCACCTGACTTTCATAAAAGCATCGAAAGGAAAAAGGTGGGAATTTCCCTTCATTCTGCCAGTCCTTAGTTCCAGGAAATGAACTCACTTTTTATTACATTAAAATCAATAGGAGCTAGAAACAAATATTTTGTGAACAAGTGTGGTTAGTAACCCTTTCACTTCCTACACACAAAATTAATGAATCAGATTGCAGAGACAGGTTATTTGAAGTAATACTTTGCATATAATCTAAGTGACAATTGGGAATTCTTGTGGGATTAGTAAATTTAGAGTCTGAAGACTTGGTCCTCAGAGTAGCAGCCTTGGGAGGTGGTGGAACCTTGAAAAGATAGTGAATAGTAGCCAGTCGTAGGTCACTGGGGCCATGTTCTTGAGTAGGGAATATTGGGGTTCCAGCTCCTCCTATTCTCCTCTGCTCCCCAGCTTCCATGAGGTGAGAAGCTTGAAACACAGCTTATTCCCATCATGATGTGCTGCCTCACTACTGGCCCAAAAGCAGTGTGGCCAACCATGGACTGACACCACCAAAACTGAGTTAAAACAAACCTTTTCTTCCTGTAACCTGATTGTCTCAGGTACTTTGTTATAGTAACAGAAAGCTAACAGAAACAACACTGCTCTGATGCTAGAATGATTCTTCACCAAATCCTGCCTTTCTAGCTCTCCAGTCCATGCTGCCACTCCTTTCTCTCAACTCTTAATGTGCTACAGTCAGTAGTGACATTGTTGTTGTGTCTCTTAAATCCTATTCTTCACTCTCTTCCTCATCAGCAAGTCCAACTCTACTTCCTATCTTCACCTATCTTCTACTAATTAGTAGCTACTGTCTCTATCTTTTGCTCAAGATTCTGTTCTGAACTGTAGGCCTGTCCTTTGAACTGGAGAGAGACCCTCCAAGAGCTCCCAACCCACCTGCCAGCCTCTCCTTTTCACAAGATAAAGGCTGCTCATGTACCCATGTAGTTCTGTCCCCATTCCTTCACACTGCACCCCAAGGACACTGTTCTCAAAGTTCTCTCTTATTGGGCTGGGGATTTAGCTCAATGGTGCTGCCACCTGCCACAAAAGTGAAAGGTCCTGAGTTCCATCTCTGGTACAAAAAAAAAAAAGAAAGAAAGAAAAAGAAAGTTCACTCTTGTTACCTACCTTTCACTTTTCTTCCTCTATTAGATACAACAGAGAAACTACAAATATACTGTTGTATCTCCTACAAGTATTCTGCTAATCCTCCTAACTTAAAAGTAAAAAACTGCCAGGCATGGTGGCGCATGCCTGTAATCCCAGCCCTCAGAAGGCTGAGGCAGACGGATTGCTGCAAGTTTGGGGCTAGCCTGGGTACATAGTGAGTTCAAGGCCAGTCTGCACCACAGAGTGAGATCCTATCTCAAAACAACAGCAACAACAAAAATCTCTGTCCCATTTCTCAGTTTATAACAAAAGTCCTTCACAGAGTACCATCTACTCCCTGTCTCAATTCCTTTCCTCCCAGCAGGGCTGTAGCCCACGACTTCACTGCCTTGTCACGGTCACCATTGATTTCCACATTACTGACACAGGTCATCAGTGCTCGGCCCCGGGTCACATGACTTCTCGGTAGCGTTTGACAGAGCTGCCACTATCC